ATGGATGATTTGACGCTAAAAGTAGATATAGCGACAGACGATCTGTCGCTAAAAAATTATAGCAACAGACTTGTGTAGAAGGTGTAAGTCCTATCGCTAAAAATCTTTAGCGACAGACAGTACTTTTAGCGACAGACACTGTTGCTCTGAATATTTATAGCGACAGATAATCCATTGCTACTTTTTAGCAACAAATGCTCTGTTACCAATCATATACCGACAGATCATCCAATAGTTTGTGTTTATAGCGACAGATTGTTCAACCGGACACTATAAATATGCCAAAAAAATAAATACGATGAGAAAACATTTATCCATATCAAACCCAGATCCATGTCACATGAGGGTACACAAACACATATATATAAGATGGAGGTCAATATTTATTACATCCATTTTGCCTTGCACGCCATATGATAGTGTACATCATTCAGCAAAGTCAAACTTCAAAAGAATTACATGAATGCACATCTCAACAGAAAATAATACTAGTAGTTTGTGTTTCACATCATAAGGTTTGTGCACACAATCATGCATCTGGCAACATGTGCCAACCTAAGTCATACATGAAGCAACTGCCTTAACTGCAACATAAAGTCAGCAGAGAACTTAAGTTGATAGAAAAGTCATACATCTCAGTATGATGCTACTATATCCCTAAGTCATATAGTGGAGCAAAAATTTGAGACCATAGGATGTTTTCTCCAATCCCAATTGGGTAACATTATGCAACTAATTTTGCAACAAATTTTTCATGAGAATAAAGTCATCAGTTATAAGTGATATAAGGCAAGATATCACAGATAAAAAATTATTGGCTATTCAAAATGCCTATCATTTAAGTGAGGGCTGGCTATACAAGTAGCAAAATTTGCTTCAGATACCCATGTTGCATTCAGTGTGCAGCTTGAACTAGATGCAATGGCCATGCAGAAGAAAAAAATCAGAATTACGGGCCAACCAACTACTTGACTAGGATTTGAGGCCAGTAGGAGGGAAGCTAGTACAATCACAAATCCTAGGTCGTTGGTAGATGCTCGAGAAAAAAATCAGAGAGGGAGAACTAACCAACTACTTCGTCAGCGGCTGCGCTCCACTGCTTCAGGTGCGCACAAAGTAAAAAGATGAAATTAGAAACAAGCAGACTCCTAAAACACTAAAGCCTATCTGCAGTGCTGTGTAAAACACAAACAATTTATATATGGTCGATGACCTAAAACATGGAAGCACTATTTAAAATTACCTCATAGCAGTTATAGCTTGACACTAGTTGTCTTCTAGGACCAGTGCCAAGAACATTGAGTTGTAACAATTCAAGTTTCTGTAATCTACAAATACAACTCATACATTATTTGCTTAGATGACAAAAAAATCAGTCGTTAGGATATAGGTTTGAAATTTATTTTTTTCCTCAAAAAATTTTGAGACCTCCATATGCCATACACTACTTGAACTCAGGAAGCAAAAATTAGGTTATGCACTTACAAATTTCTGGATTTGTCATTCCAATTACTAATATATGTACACGGACCTTTTTCCCCCTCTTTTGCTATTCAATCATAAAGCTGTAAAGTGAACAGCAACACCTAGCACTGTCAATGTAATCAGAGAAAAATAATGAACGAACTACTCAACCTAGATAAGCAAAGGACCAGGATTGGAGGGGAGAGGGTGATGCTCACTGCTCGTGCTCCACACACATCATCAGTGCAGAGCCACTGCGCTGCCATAGCACATCTGGAAGCTGCCATGTTGCCGCAACACATCTGGGAGCTGCCAACCAATACCTGCTCTGCTACTGCACATCTGAGCCCTGCAATGCAAGTTGTTAGTGTTGCAAGTTATCCGATGCAAAAGAGTGTTTAGTGTTGTGATGAAAGAATCAGAATATTCAAGCAACAACAACATCTCACCAAAAACAGAAGCCCAAATTGATGTTCGAATATAGATATAAACCTAGAATCTTGCATATACTTACTAGTGAATACATTATCTTAGAAGGTAGTCAGGTGCTATGTGTTTGGGCTCAGATGTGGATTTAGAAATCTCTCATATGTCACTAGTGAATGCATGCTCTTATTTCAGCTGTAGTCTTTAGTTGTATCTATTCCACTATCTGACAGAATGTTAGTAATTGCCTTCCAAATATATTCCTATTTGCTGAATTACTAATTGATCTCTAATAGATAGAAGTACAGCTCAAGTCAGATTATTCCTGGACTTTATTTGCACTAACCCTATAAAAACTGTGCACTACTCCACTGCCCAATCTGCATATATACAAAGAAAAAAAATATTTTGCTAGCTGATACATAAGCTAAACAACAATCTTTTCTGTAGAATATAATAGCTTGTGATCCAATAATTTTAAGAGATGTAATATTCTTCTTCAGTAGCATCACAAATACAAAATATGTCTTCTGATCTATGTATCAGTGGAATATACTCGCGAGCTGGGTCAAGCCAGGGTGCACGAGCCAAGCTTAGGTGGGCCAAGCTTAAAAGATGTTATTCAGAGGAAGCAATGATCCCTTGTTAAACAAAAGTGGAAAACTGAATTGACTACACATGTAAGAAAAAACAAAATATGTTGTCCTTTAGAAAGAAAGGAGAAAAAAAAAATAGATTTGTGACCAAAGCTTTCTTCTCTGTATTAAGATGTAGGAAGTAACTTAGTATATCATAGTATAGGACTGATGAACAACTAAAACAATTAATGAATAGACTTGGGGTGTATCAAATTGTAGTTTAGCATATTGCAACGAAAAAAACCCTGTAAAGGTAGATGTACTTTCACACAGAAGAGTGGTGTGCCTACTGCATTGAGCAGTCTGGGAACTGATTGTTTAATGTTTCTGTACAAAGCCATATCTTCTTTTTTTGAGTTTCAGTACTCCTATGGATGGTTGTTGAGGTCCTGCAACAAAGCATATATATGTGGATTCAGTTTATATGTCCAAAAAAGGAAAAGGAAAATTGGTTTTTTATGATTATAGACTGCACAGATAAGATACAGCTCAACATTTTGAAGCAACGTTGTTGTGAATTATTTGGTTGATACAAGAAAAGATAGATGAGAAAATCAAATAGATAATAGAAAGACATATAGCGTTTGATAAATCTCTAAGGAAAACATCTGAGGTTGTGTCATGCTTGCCTTACAAAGCATTTGTAAGAGGCATCCTAAAGATCACCAGTAAGTTCCAATCACATGTTTATATCACATTTTTATTATTATTAGATGGCCATCCTTATTTTAAGAAAATATATATGCTGCATAAGCCTGCACAACATGGCCAGCTATCAGAGAACATTTCACTCATTCATGTGAGGCGTAGGTTTATATTATTTCAGTTTAATAGCTATAAGATAAGAATGCAATAATTCAGGCATAGATAGTAAGAGGTAGCAAATTGGCTCAGCAATGGATAATATAGCTAAGCATTGACAATTCTATTATCAGCCCATATGTAAGAGAATTATAAATTATCTAGGCTGACATGCATGAAGACCAACTAATACAATGAAAACTACAAGGTTTGTAAGACTTTTCAGGTTTGCAAAGAGGGGGGCAGACAGTAAAGTCACCAAGATGTCATGGCCTTATTCTTTGGATAGCACAATGTAACAAAGGCCAATAAAAAAATGACAGGATCTTATAGTCAGTCAGTACGAACTAAACAGGGGACCAACAAGGAGAGGCAGGCTAGAAACTCATAAAGACGTGGTGGTCCAATTATGAGAGGCTGTTGTAACCGAACACACCACAAGACCAATGAACAAACACAAAAGATGTATTTACTTTCAAAGGTTTACTACAGGTTCTCATCACAAATAATTTGATCATAGATGTTTCTCCCAAACTTCAATGGTTTTCTAACTCTGCCTTGTACTCAGACTTTTACCATGTTGTTGCTTGTCAAGGATCACAACCATTACCTATATGGCATTCAAGATGTACAGGTTTGCAGCCACTTTAAACTTACTGAGTTGAATTTTCTAGGAAATTATTAGAAGAAAAAATAAGTTACAAATTAATAGATCGTGTGAACAGAAATTAACACACACACATTTGGTTTGAGAAAATCATTTGGATCTGGTTCAGCTTCTGAAATCATCATTGCCAGAAATCATTAGTGTTCATAAAGGGCGTACCCAGTGCAGAGAGCTCCCGCTCTATGCGGGGTCTGGGGAAGGGTGTCAGTGGCAAGCCTTACCCTCGCCTGTGCAATGCGAGGAGACCGCGACTCGAACCCGGGACCTTCCGGTCATAGGCGGTAAGACTCTACCGCTTGCACCAGGCCCGCCCTTCAAATCATTAGTGTTCATAAATAGATAATAATTAGTCAAGTAGTAGTACCATTTAGTACGCAGAAATAGAACACAACAAAGAGCTTCAACTGACCTGTTGAGAGTTTATAAAAGCAACAGCTTGCTAACTAGAAGTGCAAAATATATCCTTCTACTGCTCCTTCATTTTTTTCTTCTGTGGAATTGGAGCAAAGGAAAACAAAGGTACCATGCTTCAACTTTGATCAGAGATTACACATCAAGTTAAAAATAGATTCAGCTTTGATCTAACAATGCACTGAACAGAGAACCGTAACACTAGAAGAGCATTAGCATGCAAGTTATGTACTGCACACTATCAATAATTTGAGTATAAATAAATATTCAGGATATGCATCACCAATTCAACTTTTTCTCAGAAAGCACAGAACTACAGATTGAGAACAGAGTAAACTCAGACTAATTTACACACAAGAACAGAGACCTGTGATTCATTGTTTCCAAGATCTATCTAATCTTCTATGTTGTTCAAGGCTTGAAGATTACTACACAGAATGGATATAATCTTCTATGTTGTTCAAGGCTTCAAGATTACTACACAGGAATAGATCCTAATTTGTACAAGGAAACTTGCCTGGGACATGGTGTCATAGTCTCGTAGCTGGAGAGGAAGCGTTGAAGCAGGTGATGCAGCCGGCCGGATTTGTGTCATGGTCCTCCGCCTCCACCTTCATCTTCCTCGTGAACTAAAGCCAAGTCACCAGCGATCACAGCCATCGCCCCTGACCAAGTTGCAGCAGCCGCCGGCGGTGGCGTTCGATGCCTCGCTGCAGCCACCGCCACCAGTTGCAGTTGCTGCCCTCAGACAGGTCGCAGTAGCAGGTGACACCGCCACCTCCCAAGTCCCAACACACCATAGTGAGGAGGAGACTGGCCGAGAGCCCGAGAGCGCCCTCAGCGACCTCGCCGGGAGGAAGACGTTGAGGAGAGAGGACAGTGGGAGGAGGCAGGGAGAGATGAAGTCGCTAGGAGAGGGGGGATGGAGAGAGGCGCCGGGAAGGAGATCTGCACAGTGGAGTTCCTCTCGGTGGGGTGATTTGGGGGACGGATCGGGACGGAGCGCTGAGAGAGCGGGCGGCGGTGGCGGCGGCGATGGCACTGATTTAGGGTTTGGGGGAGAAATAGAGCCTGGGTTCTTGGGCTGGGCTAAAGTCACGAGCTAGGCTAACGTGGGCCCATTTTCTAACGACAGACCACATGACGATATAAATATACGTATTTATACCGATAGGCATTGAATCGGTGAACGAGGAAATAGCGTCAGATGATTATAAGTTATCTTTAGCGACAGATCATTATCGATAAATATTATTTTTAGGGACAAATATTCGACGCTAATGCGGTGTTGTGGTGTAGTGCGTCGAGTTGTCCAGCAGTGCGACCGCACTAGGCCCATGAAGCGACAGGGTCCATGGTGTATTTTACTTTTTTTTAGCAGTCCATGGTGTATTTTACGGTAGCAGACATTAGTAGTACTTGAGCATTCCTGCGGGCTGCGGTATTGCCGTATTGGCAAACGTCGTCCATCCGCCCCTGCCGTTGAGTCCGCAAGTCGAGCCAAGCCACACGATTGATTAATTGCAACCACGCGCACCGCCTCAATACTATATCCCAAAATCACATATGGCCACACCATTCGTCCAGCAAAACCGCACAACAGCGTGCATCTTAGAAGGGGTAAAAGCGGTACGGATATTTTCCGACCGTATTGGAGATCGAATTCATTTAGCGAGGTTCAAATTTGTCCATATCCGAGTCTGGATATTCAACATCCGATACCGTATCCATCTTTGAATACTTAAATCGCATATTTGTCATGTCGATACCCAATAATATTCTATCCGACATAGTTGATATTATCCGTATTCGAATCCGAATCCGAACAGAAATTTAAAAACAAATGTAATGGTGATATCCGTCCATATCCAATCCATTTTCATCACTAATCATTAGTGGGCTTAGATGGGTCTCTTGACCGCCTCCCGTGTGGCCCTCTTCGGCTGCTCCATTGGATGGCAGTGAACGGTTACTCCTTCGTCCCTAAATAACTTTTTTCTTTCGATTTTTGCCATAAGTTTAACTGTATTTATAGAAAATATGTGCAATATTTATATCTTTAAATAAATTTATTATAAAAATATATTCAACAGTCTATGTAAGAATATTAATTTTATATGATAAATATTAATATTTTATATATAATTAGTAAAAGTTATTTTTAAAAAAACAAAAACGACAATTATTTAGGGACAGACAAGTGTGCCTCGGACTGCCAAGTGACGTCGACGAGGAGAAGTAGACGGAGGAATCCCGCTCTGCTAACTCAGAATGGTTTTTTTTTTTTTACTTAAAACGGAGTTAATTAGTTGGCGGCTAGAAGGGATTCATTCATTGCAATCATAGTGTTGTAAAAAGCTTCAGATGCGGGTGGCAAACAGTCAAAATTATAGTGCTTCAACAAGATAAATACGGAGTACTAGATAATAGAATCCTTCATTCCAATAATTATTCTCAGGTTTGCACAAGACCGTTGCGGACTAAGCTAAGCATGCATATGCACACGCCAGCAGATATACACGTCCAGTCAGGTACAAAGACCAGGACAGAGGACATGCAAGAGCTAGGCAAAAGGATTTTTTTTGAAACAAAAATCAAAAGGGGCGAAATAAAAGGTCACGTGCATTATAACATGACAATTACGTACATATATTACGAAGAATAGTACTATAGTAGTACATGGAGTCGAGGCGATTTGCTAGCTAGTTTTATATATGTGCTTATTATACACGACAGCAATACATGGACTAGGGACAAGTAACATTTTCATTGAATTGCTACTAGGAAAACAATAATGCAAAAGGCTACTTCTTGACACAGGCTTAATTAGGTTTAGCAGAGCAACTGGACACGTGGCACTGTGGGAGCAGTTGCTAATATGCATTGTAGTACGTAGCTGTAGCGTGCGTCGGCTAGAACAAGGCCCCGGCCGCTGCTTGCACGACCTGAGCAGCGAAACGTGCAGGTGCAGCCGCCCATGGTGGAAAGCGATCGGGCGTGAGCGCGAACAGCAGCAGCGCAACGCCGGCTACCCAAATGAGGAAGCCCGCGGCAGCAAGGACGTGGCTGGCGTTGGTGTCGTCGTCGTTGCCGCCGCCGGGACCGGTGACGGCGTGGAAGATAGCCGAGGCTCCTAGCACCATGAGTATCGCGGCGTCGTCGCGGAGGAGCCGACCGTGGCGACGGACCGGGAGGAGAATGCGGCTGTGGGGGACTGCTGCCGCGTTGAGGACGAGCAGGAGGACGCGGCAGAATATTGCGAAAGCTGCCATGGGCATAGCAAATGTAGAGGAGAGCAGATCCCAGAGCTCCAAGCTTGCAGTTGTGCGAGTGTTTTTGGTTTGGCTGTGAATCTGTGATGAAAATCGTGGCGCGGTATCCAACGCTACTTATAGGCCGGCCGGAAAGCACGGATGCAGGCCTGCAGGACAATTCCACGCGCAGCAGGAACTAGGGTGTTTAGTTCGCGAAATAAAATTTTTTGGGTGTCACATTGATGTGTTGAAAGGATGTCGGGAGAGATTTTTGATACTAATAAAAAAACAAATTACAGAACCCATCAGAAAACTACGAGACGAATCTAATGATACTAATTAATTGGCCATTAGCACATGTGGGGTTACTGTAACACTTAAGGCTTTTTATTGGCTAATTAGACTTAAAAGATTCGTCTCGTGATTTTGTCGAGAACTGTACAATTAGTTTGTTTTTGTCTACATTTAGTACTCCATACACATGTCGTAAGATTCGATTTAACACTTTAGGTGAAACAGGGCCTCATTTCCGTAGCCATCTTTTGGTTCGCCACCACGCGGCGATGCATCGGCCACTTGTGGGGGTCAAAGTTGGTGTTTCTTTTCGTCATCCTGTGGCCTGGGGCTGGGGGTGGTCATTTCGTCATCCTGTGGCCTGGGGCGGGGGTGGTCATTTCGTCATCCTGTGGCTGGCCTGGGGGTGGTCATTTCGCAGGTCCAGTTTTTTTCTTTTCGACACCGGCCGGGTTGTTTCATCGGCCACTTGTGGATCAAAGTTAAGTTTGTGCTTCTTTTCGTCATCGGCCACTTGTGGATCACACAGGCATAGCAAGCCGGACTCTGGCACGGATTTGTTATGCAAGGATATTCATGCGTGATGCGTCACCGGATCACCATCCAGAAACATTTGAGTAATTCAGTCATCAATCAGATTAGCTAACCTTCCAGAACCCCGCTCTGCATCAGATTAATTACAGAGGCAGTGCAGCCTTCGATTAGAAACTTCACAGAGGGCATGTTTGATACACATGGCTAGTTACTAGCTGGGCTAAAAGCTAAGTCAAATTAGTTATGGCTGGCTAGTTAATTGGTTAACAACTAGTGAAAGATTTATTAAACAAATTAACTCATCTATTAGTCTTCCTGTTTGGATGCACTATAGCTAATTTGGACTAATTTTTAGCTGGCTAGCAATTAATCTTGGATCAATCAGGCCCTAAGAATTGAAGATTCCGAATTGATTGATAAATTCAGGGAACAAGGGACAAACATATGATATTATATGAGTAACATTATATACTCCTCGCAAAAAAAAGTAACACTTATATATATGCTTAACATCTACATTACCGCCCTTCACAATCAAGGTGGAGGTTGATCTTCATTCTGAGCCTTAGTAGATATATGTTGCCTGGTGAAGCTCAAAGCGGACGTACCGTAGATGGCTCTTAATCTTAACACCAATATGTACTTGTTAGCTTAGGTCCTTATAAGTTGTTTTACCTCGTTAGTTTTAACAGTCAATTCAAAAGTTTAGACATACTAATACAATAATTTGTATGTAGTCCTCGCATTCCAGGAATGATATAGAAATAGGTATTTGCAAAACAGATAATAACTAATATACAAAATGGTTATAATCTGCCTAATCCGTCCTCTAGCAAGTGCTAATCAATTAAATGATGAACTTGCTCTTCGAAACCTTCTAGTGCTTCTCCTAGCCTTTGCATCCAAATAGTCTAAAAATGCTAGGCAATAATATCTCTGCTCTTCTGCTTCATGATTTGATTTCAACATTTCTTCGTCTAATGAATCAAAGTGTCGCTACAAATCGGCACGAGTCAGATTGGTTTTCCGGCGAGTCGTTTTCGCCAGTGGTGCGCAGGCGAGTCGTTTTAATGGACGGGGTGCCGGAATGCTTTTCCCGGAAAGAGCAACTATAGGTCCATTCACACCCACCTAAGCAAGCAGCAGAAAGCCCAACTTTGGTTAATCGGATCACATATAGATAGACATAGCAAGCCGAACTTTGGTACCACATTGGCACGGATTTGTCATGCAATGATTCAGGCGTCGCCGGACCGCATGCGTGTCACCGGACCAAGGATTCATGCGTCACTGGACCAAAAGGATTCAGAAACATTTGAGAAATTTCAGACTAACTTATAAAATAATCTGCGGCTCTCCTACCGGTGTGATCACGCGACAGGGACAGACGTCAAAAGGGCTCCCTGCCGCTGCACTGTAGCCGCGGCAGGGACAGGTGCCGAACGGCTCCCCCTGCCGCACTATAGCCACAGCAGGGGCAAACATTAAAGTCAGCCCTGCTGTCACATCTAATCAATGTAGCAGCATGTCAGCCTGATATGTTTGTGGATTAGGATTAGATGGGTAGAGTTGTATATATATCTTTCCACTGTAACTCAGTAAAGAGAGTGAGTTCAGTTTTGCCATCTCCTCTGCAAAGCTCCGGTCAACGCTGGTGCTTGTGTTGTGTGTGCGCGCGCTCTGTTCTCCCTCCCTTCTTCTACCTCGAGTCATAGTGTGTGCTCGGCAACGCCGATGACCGGTCGGCTTACCCGTGCGGGAGATCCAGGGGCCAGCAAGTGGTATCGGAGTCATACAAACGCCGTCGCCGGACTAACCGCTGACGATGACGCGCGATTTGGAGATGGACAACAGCAGCGGCGCTGCTGTAGCTGCACAGCCACGACAGGAGGTCGTCGTGCGCACGGTGCGGGAGGTCAGTGGTACCAGTTAGCCGACGCTAACTTGCACCAACTATGGTGAGTGCGCGGTGACCATGAAGGTCAAGCTTAGAGCCCGACGGCTCTGGAAAGTCATTGATAAGG